TAAATTTATTCTGATTTAGTGTTAATGTATTAAGTGCATAATATACTTTAAGTAAGATAGACTTCGGACGCGTGTACGCCTGTCGCCTAATCAATGATACGGTCGTATATGTTTAGTGGCCAATAATTGTATTGTATTATTATATACCCACCGGCGTGAGCTCTTGAAGRGAATGGTGGGCAGCTTTCAAAAGCTCTCTAAATATAGTGTTAAAATTGCAAATATCGATTAATTTTTTATTTGGAATCATGACTAATATTGGTAAATTATCTTTAAAAATGCCATAATAATCGAGCGGAATTGTGTACCGTTCTTTGTGTTGATGCAGGTGTTGAGACGTCGAGARAGAGAACTGGAGCACGAGATGGAAAGACTGGCCAGAGAAAAGATTTGGGCTCAACAGAGGCACGCGTCCCTAAAGAAAGAACTAGCCGCCAAATGGGATCACATCGATTTCAGCAAGCTATTGCCGGACTTACCGCCAGACGTGATGACCCGGAAGGCCCCTAGTAAGTGTTCCCCTCCGCTTCATCCAACCCATCAACACCTGACCGTCACGACGACTATTGCTCATTGCTACATCAATAATGTAACTGTTGACTGTCGTGTAATATGTCAGTTGTTGTGCATTATTATTCACGAAGAATTAAATTACGCTTCCGGGAGTCTTGAGCCGATTTTCATCAGTGGTTGATGTTACTATTAATTATTATTATGTCGTATCATTACGAACAGGGTGATTAACGACAAGCATACTCCCTCTTTTACTTCACCAATAATGTAATTGCTAAAAATCTGATTCCTGAAATTTTTAAATATTAAATGACCATAATATGATCTTATATTTAAAAATACCAATGATCGACGTTTGTATTAATTCATTATTAAAGGATAATATTATTTTGCTTGTTGAAGCATCACCCTGGTATAAATTAAAATATAAACTGATCATCAAACGACGCCCTGGAAGTCTTCCAACCTGTTCGGCACGAAAACGATATTCAATTTTKTGTTGTGAATATCTGTTATTTCGTTATGATTTTATTGACGTCTCGTCGTTTTCCCGCAGTAGCCGCCACAAGTATAAACGGAGATTTCGAGACGGAAAGGGACGCTAGCATGGTTACTAGCGACGCGGACGACAGCAAACTCAGTGCTCTGTACAGTAGTACATCATCTCTGTCCAGTTCCTCCCCGCCCACGCTGCCATTCATCTCCGACATTATTCCCCATCAGGTGCAGGTCGTCAGCACGTCTCCGATGATGGGGAGTACAATTCACATAGTTCCTCAGACCAGAAACTCGTCCTCGTTACCACCGAACGCTTTGCAACAGCAAACCCTCACGTTTGTCCATCACAAAGATGCTCTCAGTAAGTACACGTATATATAATATTATGTTTTTATTGAAATTTCATTTTTCATATTTTCATATAATTATTATTATACATTATACTCATCTGCTTATACGTTATCAGGCGACTATTTTGTGATTTCATAAGTATTGGAGATTCAATATTCAATTAAAATATACGAAAAACGTCAGCTCCTCCGATTTATTGAGTGCAGATTTTGAACAGACAACTCAGAAAATTCTTAGTTTATAAAAATCTCGTTAAATGGATCAAATYATAATATTATTTTCTAAAGTTTTTTTTTGTTAAATCAATTTTTTTTCTCAGTGTTTTACAACTATAACCATTTCTTCTTATAATCTASGTTTGCTAACATTACCWAACCCCACGTCCAGTACCTACCCAGCTATGTGTCTAAACGCATTTTCAGTAGTGTATACATAACTTTTGTTATATATTTGTGGAAGGGRGAGGAGGTAGATCTGTGAAAAATCCAAACCTACAAATTAATACTGAGTATTTACTATATTAACTGTAAATTGTAATGTACGTACAAAAGTTCATTAAATAGGTATTTATATCATTCAAAAAAAAAAWAAATAAACCAAGCTTTTTCCGGGTATTCAGACCACCACATACCCTCTTAATAGGGGTGAGTAGTTAGTGAGTACTCATATACGTAAATGAATTATAGCACTCCCGAGATCAACTAAAARGTTAATAAACATTTTATTTTTCGCCATATACCTATAACATTACAGTAGACTTGTACGATTTCCCCTCACCATGTTACTTTATAATAAGCTCCCTGGGGTTATTTATAAAGGATACTCCTCAATCCCGCCCGATTGATCGTCAATCCTAATCATTGCGACTKATGTGTACATTACAGATCAACACGATGGCACTACTCAGGCAGTATTGACCAAGGTATCAAATGGCTCGTTTACTTTGTACGGCGACCCAAAACTTACGCCCAATCGTTCCAAAATGTCTCTCGCAGGTATGCAGCAATGACCGGTGTTGGATACATTATTTTGTACATACTTAACGGGTGGTATGCGGTGTTTTAATATCGGTTCTTTTGGCCAGGCATAAAGATTGGCACCAGTGTGATCGATCATTCCAACAACACAGCGCCCGCACCAATCAGACTATTGCAGAATAACATCATAGCGGCACAAACGTCAGGTAAATAATATCTTCATTTCGGTACTCATATGAAATGTCACAAGCTTYATCTTTGACATCGTTTTGTTTTCTACGATTTGCGCAATCTAGTTGTGAACAGRGGACAGCCTACTCCAAATCATGTCATAACTCGGCCGTTGCTCCTAACTCACCACCATACCAATTCTGCTCCAGCTCATCTAGTACTGTCGACGGCTTCTTCTAAGGTATGTATAATGTGTATATGCTGCCTAATCAGCGAAATTGTAACGTAAATACGTTGGAGTTAATATTATGGTTTACAACCACTTGAAATATTATTTTAATGTTGTCTATAAATGGTTTGATTAAATAAAGTAAATGTACAGTAAACATTTTTTTTTTTTGATGTGGTAAGTGGTAACTTGCATAAAATAATATAAATATTTCTTTATTTTCTCATTTTAAAATATTCTGCACTTATGAAAAGTTATTGACGAATTGTTTTAATTTTTATCATTTTCATGAAAATTTAAATATATGAGGCAAAGCATCTTAAATTAGTATTGTATTATTTTGTTTTTTTCAAGGATTTGTAATGTTCTCAGTACTTGAACAAGTAMAAATTAGAAGGGGGTTGCAAAATGTAAAATAAAAATGTGTGAAYATAAATAAAATATATAAATAAATATTTAAATGTCTTATTGATTAGGGTATCAGAATGTAATATTAAAAAACGGATAGGCATAAATATTTTTTCTTCTTCTAGGGACTGTCCTCTCAATCCAAATACTAAATGTACATCATTTTTTTGTGCACCGTTGTTAAAAAATTTTCTTATAAGCTAAATCAATGTAATTTTTTTTGTTTTATAGGCAGTGACAATTCCAAATCAACAATTACCACCACTGTCAAATGGCCATCTTATAGTCAAGCCGAGTGCGATGGTGGTTATGAACAGCTCACAGCCAAAATCGCATCATTCCGGCCACAAAGCATAGCATTCACCGATCCTTATGTTAAAAGATATAAACTATTGTACAATAATACTAATTTTTTGGGGGTTTTTGGTAATAACAGCGTATAAAATAGTTTTAATAACAGTTAAAAAAAAAAAAAAAAACACTATTTGTACCATGTAATATTTATATAGACTACAATGAAAATTATTTTATTATATTTATTATTTCAAAAACCTGACATCTTTAAAATCTATTGTAAATATTATAGTTTTAATTTTATTTATAAAAGTTTAAAAAAATCACATTAAAAAATTAATTATCGTAATTAAATATATTTGTCATAATGGCATTTTTGTTAATTGTTTTTTACATATAGACTATAAGTTAAATCAATGCTTTATATTTAGATGTTTTATTAATCATTTTGATTTGTTTGACAAAAGTTTGGAACTTGGACCATCTATTGTGAACTGACAAAGTTAAATATCAAAAAATTAAAAAAGTTATTAGTTTAGCAATGTTAAAAATTTAAAATTACCAAATACTTAACTTTTCATTTTTTTTAGAAAATTCCCTTCTTTTTAATTCAAAATAAGTGGAAACTAACCTAAAATCTTTTGATTAGATACTATATTTTTATAAAGTAAAAATTTAAACTCCACTAAATATATGTATTATGAATGTAAAATTATTACTCAAAATAATCTGTTGACCATTGATTAATTGTCAACAGTGACATTTTAGTATGAGTGGTAAGGAAAATTAATAAACACATAAAATATTTATTTTTTCAATTCATTTACAGGTTTAATTCTGTAATTTTTATTTAATGAAAAAACAAATGTAAAAATATTTAGGACAACTTTTAAAACTATAACAATAAATTCTTTAAAAAGCATCAACACTGTTAATAGAAACACAATCAATCTGTGACTGACGAATTGGTTGTTATTGATTTCAATAATTTGTAACATTGCATAAGATTTTTCCGGTCACCAATCTTTTCTAAAGTACGCGCTGCTTCGGCTAACATACCTGCTCTTATGCCAGGTGGTGATAAAAGAGACATGGGCAAATGTTTACAGGCCATAAATAATGCAGTTGCATGCTCCCTTAAACCAACTGTGCTTTGTTCGCCTTTACCTAGATAAATAAATATGATATGTCAACTTCTTTATATTTTTAACTTTCTTTTATATTTATTTATAGAGATAATTATTTCCCTAAATTCTTCCTACCTTTAGTACAAATAACAAAATGCCGCGTTGATCTGTTTCTTAAGCTGCGATCAAATAGTTGTTGAGTTTTTGTTGGTGAAGCTCCAGCCATTAAACGTGCAGTTGCTTCATATAAGAACACTTTGGCAGTAGCAAACTAAAAATTTTACAATCTCATAAATATTTTTCATATTTCGTTAAACATTTAATCAACAGCATGAAAGTAAAAACTTAAGTTAAAAATGAATATTCTATTTTCATCATGAGAAATAGATATTATCAGTACAAGATCAGCAKTAGCCAAGAAAAAATATGAATTTAAWTTACAACCACTGTTACAATGTCTTCAATTTATTTTATTTTTTAACACATATTTATATTTTCTTTACAAGGAACAAACCCTGTCTAGAATTATTGAATGGTAATCAGTGATATTATAATATGTAACATGCACATTGTATAGTATCTTCAGTGGCAGACTGGACGATCGGGATACCGAGAAATTTCCCGGTGGGCCRCTGCTGGTATAAAAATATATATATTTATTAATATTTTAATGGGGAAATTATAAATTAAAATATTATTTAATAAGTATGTAATATAAAATATTATTAAACTTAAAAACCTAAATTTCTAATTAGGTATTTTAAAATTCAGGACTGGCTTGTGTTTGGCCAGACCACGCTTGTTCACAACTTTGTTACAAGTTTAAAAAGTGGATGTCATTCTGCTGTATAGTAGATTACAAGTAGGTCACTGTAATGGATGGTATTAAATTTGAATTCAATGCTATAATATTATTGTATACGAAAAACGATTATGTATCAACRGTCATTTGTTTTAGAGTTACATCAAAAAATAAAATCGATTTTGAGTAAAAATTCAGTTTTTCCATAATTTTTCTTTTGTTTTTCAGGAAACTTTTGAAAACTACCAACTAGATTCGCTTTCCTGTCAGAAAAGATACTGTTGAAAAAAATCTAACCATTTTTACTATCTTAAAAGGATGATGACAGACACAAAAAAAACACATYATTGTAAAAACAAAACGTTTATCGCTCTGCTCAGAATCTAAAATAGGTTATTAGGTACATAGGTCATTATAGCATCCACATGACCTATAAAAAAATATATATTTAAAAGGCCGTTAGTATATTGAGGGCCTCTACAATTATGATTTTCCCAGGCTGTGTTTTTCTCCCAGTCCGCCACTGAGTATCTTCACTTTATTCAGAATCCAAAATAAAATCATATTTTGATTCTACCAAATAAATGCATACGTCCATAATGATAATATATCAATTGATAATCGTTACTACAAACTGAAATGCAACAACTACTTAATATCTTCAGCTAGATATTATCTATAATTGTCACTTTTTAATTCAAAATAAACAATATTTTTTTCAATAAAATATGTAGACCAATAAGGCGCCAAATTCTATACATTTTTCAGGCCAACCAATTTTCCCCAACATTGGGTTTTAGATACATAAATACAAAGGCGGATTCAGTCCATATTAATGATTAAAGGGAGAGCGTTGAGGGTAGACTATGGGTACAAATAGGTACTTATTACTAAGCTTATCCAAGCAATAGTATTACATATGAATGATAACAATTTTGAAAACAGATGAGGCAATAACCCCCCTCCTCAGACACTGAGTAAATGTGTAAATTGCAATTTCAAATGATATCACTTTAATGTTTAAGATGACGCCACACCSGCATGTGTTTTCTTCGTTGTACAAGTGCGTAGCATAGTAAATTGTACGCTCAGCAAATCTTGTTTATCTCCTTCAATTTAAAATTTAGAGTGAATTGACCTATTATAAAAATTAAAGGTAAGATTATTACCGAGGGCATCTCATAGGCTTTTTATTATATTTTAATTTTAAAGCGAATAATGAGTATTTTAAAATTTAAAATTATTTTTATATCTAAAAATACTCATAACTCAGTTTAAAATTAAAATATAATAAAAAGCCTATGAGATGCCCTTGGTAATAATCTTGCTTTTAATTTTTATAATAGGTCAATTCACTATAAATTTTAAATTAACGGAGATAAACGTGATCTGCYGAGCGTAAAATTTGCTATGCTACGCACTTGTATGACGGAGACAACACATGCGGGTGTGGCGTTCTCTTAATAGTAATAAAATAATTAAATATTACTTACCGGAACAAATTGTGCAATTTTTCGTAAAGAAGTTAAATCTTCTTGGAAACTTTTTAAGTTTAAAAATTCCAAATTAACATAGCCTGCTGGCATTTTTTTACACTCTTCTTGCCATGACAACATTCTTGTTTCTAATAACCAGTCACAAGCTAATAACAATGTCATCTAGTTGACAAAAAAAAGGTTATTCAAACTCTTAATTCTAAACAATATAAATGCTGGACTTACTATAACAATTGGTTGGGGCTTATTTGCTTGCAATAAGATTAAAGTTTCTGATAATATTTTACTAGCTTCATGACAATGATGTTCTAAAATTCTAGGTTTCATTGTATGAACTTTATTTCGACATCTGTAAACAAATAATAACATTAATAAATTATAATTATTACCGTTACAAAAATTCATACTCATAGGCAGCAAGTACAGCTTGTGCCAATGGATCAACTAATAAACTTGGAGGAACATTGGAGATATGTTTATCAAGCAAATCTAAACCATTTTCTTCACCTAATATCCAATATGTTCCAGCAGCAAATATTGCTCCCCACCAAGCTACTTTCTCATCCTCTACCACTAAAAATATAAAAAGTATTAAAGATATTATTTTTCAATTTTATTAAATAAGTCTTACCATTAACTTCAGAGCTTCCAATTATCCTGGGTTTCATTGTAATTGAATTAGTTTCTACAATGCGCTGTACATATAGCAAAACGTCTGAAGTTACAGTCGGTTGTTTGGTATGACCAACAGCTTGAACAATTTGTCTTGTCCCAGGTGATATTAATGTCTGTAAAGCTTTTTCTAAAGTATTTTCCCTGAAAGACTAAAGAAAAGAAAAGGTATTATATTTTTAAAAACAAATTAAGACWWTTTGATTACATACTCTAGTTAAATGAGATAGTGGATCATTGCAGTCAAAGAGTGTTGTGAATGATGATGTAGCATTACTCGGAGTAAATTTCCAATTGTGATCAATGAAAAATCGAAATCCATGGTCAGTTGTAAGCCAATTCAAATTAGCAGGTAATCTATTATAATTAAGCACTTGGGTTTGTGCTTTATGCAAATAATATCTATTGAACAAATATGTATATTGTAATACATTGTATAAAAAAAAAATTGTTTATAATATATTTGTGTTCAACAACTCACCTGGTAAAAAATCCAGCACCTTTAAATGTGATTGTTTTAAAATTAAGAGCAATGGTCGAATATAGGCGCATACAAGTTTCAACTGAAATTATTTGTCGTCCAGCTACTTCAGCCATATTAATTGAACAAAGTCCTAAGTATAGACCAATACCCCTATGAGCATTAGGTAACGGACAATCAGTTTCACTAATTAAATACAATTTATGTAGTAAATGATAAATTTCACTGAGTTGTTTAGCTGTATTTAAAGTTTCATGCTTATTGGTCCTGTAAAAGTAAATAAAATTAATTACTTAGGTATTTCACATTGTTTATTTAATTTTGTATCATACACATTTTTAAAAACAGCATTATTCCATTTTTTCAAAATTACAACCACTTTGAATTGATGCAAAAATTGTCTGATAATTTGCCATATTAATGAAGCCCAGAGTTTCTTACGACTTGTCAAAATTGGTCGACCAAAAATTTCCAAACATCTAGAGAGTTCAAGAACTGCGATTTTTCTGTTTCCCTAGATTTGTTTGAAGGAAAGAGTAAAAGTATTACAAAAACCTAACAAAAATATCTTTCACAAACCTTATTCAAGTTATCTTCGGCTTGTTTTCTTGTTTGCATGTATTCCTGGTAAGTTTCTGAATCCGAATATATCATTGGATCACTACTAAGTAGACAGGTTAGACTTATGATCATCATAAGAATATTTAATGCCCATATGGAAAGACTAATAGCATAACTTTGATATGTTTCATCGTCCGTTTCAGAATCTTAAAAATTAGTTTGAATAAATAATACTCAGTGTCCATAAACCAAAATATATAAAAATCAGTATTGGGTAAGTTACTAACTCGTTCCTCAGAGAAAAAAGTTATTATCCAAGTAACTATTATACTCTTTATAGTTATTATGTTACTACCCAATACTGATACTTAAATAATAATTACCTGTTTTAGCATTTAAAATTGTTCTACCATCGACCTTTTCAGTCCAAGATTCAGAAGGAGACATAATGCTATTAGGCAATAAATTTCCAAAAGGATTAAATGCAACTACCACAAACATGAACACGCAAAGCACTAATCTTGAATGATCAGCCATACCTTTCTTACCAGATTTAGTGGTCTATAATAAGCAAATAAAAATATTTGTTATWTAAGTACATAACCATCAAGTAGTCATGATATTATATAACATAATATTTAGTACCAATATTGAATGAGAATTCATCACAATCTCAGGTGATGAGGCGCCTTCTGATCTTTCTGGGGAAGACACGGAAATATATGATTGCGGAGGTGTCAGTGATCCAGGGTTATTATATTCTTCTTGTAATAAAGTAGAAGGACTTTGGTCTAGTTTTTTTGAAATATTTAATTTAAACATTTTGTTTTCATCTTTTAACTTTTCATTAGCCATTTCCAAATATTTAATATAATCTATAGCTTTTTTAAGTATAGCAGATTTATTWAGCTAAACARACATGACTATATATAGTATTTAATAAAATTAATGTTTACACATGTTTTATTAATATTTACTTTAGCTTCAGTTCCAAGAATCATATCTTTTAATTCCATAATTTTATCATTAATACTTGTGCGATATCTTCTTTCAATAACATTATGTGAACTTCGTGGTTTTTCATCTTTCATTGACACAACATCAATATTATTGCTAGATGACATGTCTGAATCAATCATAACTGGTATACCTAAAATCATAAAAATATAATAAATATTAATTTAATACCTACTTTTATAGAAAAATAGTTTATTTTACCTGTGGTAACATATGCAGTATTATTTAATATAATTGGTTGACCATTTGTTGATGTATATACCATTGTAGGTGATGTGTTCAGAGGTGCGTTAAAAAAAACCTATAAATTAATAAATAATTTAATAATTTAGATTTATTTTGTTTAGGTAGCTATTATAAAAAGCATAATATATTTAATATAAATACTTGTTTYATATTTTGATCAGATGGTAAGTGAATTTGTCCAACATTTTTAACTGGAAGGAGAGTATGAATTCCATGTTTTTGAATGTACCTTATTTTTCTATTAACATTTTTTCCTATGATATGATTTGGTTTAATTGGCTTTTGAATAACTTTACGATTAGGTTTAATCAAAGGAGGTGCTTTTGGGYATGGATTAAGCATAGCAGAAGGTGAAATCACTGGAGTGTCAATAATGTGTGAAACAGTATCTTGTGGAGGTGATATATGAATATCCGGTTCAATTAAAGAAAGATCGAGTGGTGGAAAATCCAATAATGAGGGATCATTTATTGGATCATCAAACTCTGTCAATATATGATCACCAGTGAATAGTTTTGTGTCAACTTCCGGCATTTTCTCATTGTACTTATTCAAGAGCTCTACAAAAATACAATTGACAGAAGTGTAAACATTAGTAAAGTAAAAAACATTTTACAATGTGTACTAAACTCACCATCAAAACCTGCAAAATCCAAATCCTCTGGCATGTCCAACGGATTCATCGAGTCCAACGCGTCCATTTTGAACGAATTTGGTAGAAGACTTTTATGGAGGTTAAGTGGTTCTAGAGACCACTGAAGTACATTATTTTCGGATTCCAAACTTTGAGACCTCAGCAGTCAACGCCGTTGTGACAACAGGTGCTTTTTCTTGGCGATTGTTCCGCAAAGTTCAACAATCCAGAGCGTAAATGCGATACACAATAAATTATCTAATTTTACTGATCGCCAACTAATTACTATGCTAATATCACAAGCACCTTAGTCATTGCCGCCCAGTGTTGTGAGAGGCGAGTTCTAGTAGTCTACCTATTCATTATCATTTATCAAAGGACAAAGATACTTATTATAGTTATGACTATGAGATATATAACCGAATCGCCGTTCAGTAAACCATCGTACCATTTCGATATAATTACGATGATAAAGACGACGACGTAGTAATAACACTATAAAAAAAATATAAATAACATTGCTTAAATATATAATATCTAACAAGACGAACAGACTTTATTGATAAGCGYAATAAATGTGATAAGCGTTCCTTATTTACGAATGGATCTTCGCAGGAAAAAATTGTTTGTGTCCGTATAAAATATTGCTTACATTTAGTTGAGGTATACCAGCAGAGATTGAACGTGGTTCAGATAAATTGTCGTTAATTTTAACTAAGAATTTCCTATTAGTTAGGAAGGAATTAATAATATTAAATAAGTACTTAGGTAGTTAGGTGTATTTAAACATTTTAATTTGTATAAGACACCTTCGTGCCAAACTTTGTCAAACGCTTTCGAGATATCTATAAATACAGGCCGTACTATACAGCACCAGTATGGCAATGTTTTTCAAAAGAAGTACTGATATGTTCTGTTATACAGAAAAGCTGTTGTACGGTTGAGTGGTTGGATCGAAACCCAAATTGGRATTTTGGGATAACATCTGCACTCTGMACTATTCAAATAATTTTGTAGTCTCGTATGTATAACTTTTTCAAAAATGTTTGTTAGGGAGGCAAGACGTAGACTTATCGGTCTGTAGCTATCAGGATTAGATTTGTTCTTTCCGGGTTTTTTTATTAGTATAACTGTTGCTAACTTCCAATTCAGTGGAAATTTCAAAATAATTCAATAAAAACAATAAAATATAACTTTASAGTTATCATAGAACAGTTATATAGTATACACTGTCTACCATTCATTTGATAGGAAACAGGTAAAATATTTAAATATAAAAAATGTAAAACAGTTCATAGGTACATCGTACAAAGCCACATAGGAAGGTATATAAATATAATGAAATATATATAATAAAAAACTAAATATGAATATTACAATTAATTAAAATAAATCACAAGATATCAAACAATTTAAAAGAAAAAAACCATGGTCTTATATATGACTTATATAAGACTGTGGTAAAAACCTTAGATCATATACAACTGTATATATGATATTATGATCTAAGGTAAAAACAATTCTTATCACGTTATCAGTTATAAAATACGAGATTCTATGGGTATCCACGGACTGAGAGCAACATAACCAATTTGATTACAAACAAGTAGATTATTGAATTATTTTTAATTTTTATTATTTTTATAGCAAATAATTTATTTTATTTTATTTATTTATTTTTTTTTTTTCTGTAATAGTCGAGCTGTCATAGTTGTATACTAATAGCTAATAAAAAAAAAAAAAAAAATTTATTTTTTCCTAGAAAAAAATCACAAATCGTGATATTAACGATATACATGATTTTTTATGAACAATAATAGAATATATTCTTAAATMTGTAAGATAGGCCAAATATTGTCTGATGTTCAAAATATGCTTTAATATGCAAAATAATTTTTTTCCTACGAACTCTATGATGGATAAATCGTCCACATTTTGCACCCTCGTAAAGCTGTATAAAGCGATAAAGCCAATAAAAATATGTAAAAACCTAAATATCCGTGCTCTAGGCACTGAACTAAATATATTTAATTCAGTGGCTCTAGGCCACTTATAAGTGTTATAAACTTTTAACTATTATATAGATATTATAGCCGTTACCGCTCTCTTCCCCGGCACGGCCGGCACTGTGCACTGCTAGAGCGGTAGAGTTCGATGGAGGTGGAGGCGGCGGCCGTTGTTGCCCATGTTGAATGTTGATGCRTGCGAGACGCATCCACGGTATAAAAGGTGGTTAACCTAACCTAACCGCGGTAACGCCATATTGCAATAATTTAGGATTTTTCCTGTGAAAATCCATTCGTGATGATTGGTGTATTTTTTCAGGTTATGTAAATTTATTGTTTATTATTGTAGACTGTAGGATGATATAATCCATGATATGCGAAAGTGCCGATATCGTTCTGTACGGTGTTTAAAATTTTTTATTTATGCTTTTTATGTTTTTTGATGTTGTTATTGTTGTTAATKAAAATTGGTAGGTAATAGGTATTTATKACACACTTAGTTTTTACAAAGTACAAACTATAATTCTGCTAGAAATCATCATCCAAGAATTAWATCATTTATTTATAAATTCTAGTTTCTTGATTCTTGTATCTAATGCCCGTTTAAATATTTTTGAAAAAGCGTACGATTTGTATTACAATGAGTGAAAAACCTTCGCAAAGTAAACCGATTATTGTTAGGAATAAAGAATCGGAAGTGGATATTTACACGGTAATTATTTTAAAATTTAATAGTTTGATAAGATTYCTTAATTTATATTAATTAATTTGTTCACTTTATTATATTTAAAAAATATATAAGATTTCTAAACATTGTATTTGCCAAATTAACATTTCTTCAACTTATGTGCTTAAAGTATTTATTAAATTTTTCTTTCACCGCTTATAAATCTGTATAGGTACCTACATTTTTACTTTTAGAWGWCAAAATGAATAGAAATTAAAAATAATGTTTTATTTTTTAGGCAGTAGTAAAATATGAAGAAAAGCAAACATCTAATAGAGATGAAAATAATGATTCTGCAATTTATTTTAATACTTTACACAAATGGCAAGACATAATGAAATGGAATTATGAGTTAAAAAATAAAGAAAACTCACCAGTAAGTTCTATTTATTACAATTTTCATTTCTAATGAGTTATGTTATACTTCAGTGGTGTAATGAGGAATTTGGTTGGGGGGCGGGGCTTATATACTTTTAGCAAAATTTGTAAGCCTCATACAGTAACTCTATCCACTAAATATAAAATATTAGCAATAAAAAAAAAGTGTTGAGGGGTATCTATCTAATTATGTCCCTGTTATACTTAGTTGTTTTTTTTTTTGGGGGGGGGAGGGGTAGGCTACAAGGCTAAAATAAAAAATAGCTTAAAATTAATAGTAACGTGTATTATTAAAATTCTGATTTTTGGAATTCTTAATTATGAATACCATATTATTTTCAATTTGATGAGATGAAATTTTAGGAAATACAGAAATACATGCATTTTTTACTAAATACTTCACCTATTTTTATATACTAGCCTGGTGTAATACTTACAAATATATTTAAACATTTTTAAAATATAATTTTTATTGTCTTCTAGAGAGTAGAGATACACTCAATATTTTTAAGGAAGCCCCCCTTCCCCTTCAAAATTCTCCTACTTTCATTTGATAATTTTTATTCACCTAAATATTTCCTAGTTAATATTTTAAATATTAACTTAACGTATATCTTTATGTAATTTTAACAGAAAGAAAAACTTGAAGAATACAAAAATGATGTWATACACTTATTTTTAATTTTAAAAAAGTTAAACAGACTTGATAAAATACGCTCAAAACAAAAAAAAGATTTATTGAATAAAAAAAAACAAGAAATTGACAGTAAACATTTACAACAAGAAAATCTTCTAAACGAATTGTTTTATTTAAAAAAAGAAATATCCAAGTGCTATCAATACAAGTATGGTATTCACAAAGTTAGTTGTTAAAATAATATTGATAATGGATACCTTTCTTTTGTTTATTGTAGATCTAGTGATAGCGATATTGATCTTGTGCCGTTAGAAACATTTTGTCTAGAGTCGCCAGATGCAACCGAGTATATTGTATGTAAACAAAATAATCATTAACTATTGAGAAATTATTATTATCTTTAATTATTAGGATAAATTAAAAAGTGGATTGATTAATGAACATGATTTACATATAAAACGCCTACAATGGGAGTTTGAGCAGAGGCAAATTCAACAACAACAGTGTGATGAAGTAGAAAAAAATAAAGAAACTATACTTTCTGAAATTCAGGAAGAGAGCAGGGTTTTACAAAGTATTTTACCTATGCTTAAAGACATACGCACTGTGAGTTTAAAATCAATCATTTTTTTATTTCTTTTACCTTATAATTAATTTTTAAAATGTATTATACTAAAAAAATATATTTATACGTTAAATAATCTTTAACTTTTTATTATGTATTATACTATTATTTTAATTCCCAAAAATAAAATATATTTTATTTATGAAAAATAATCAATGTGTTTGTATAATAGTTAAACCAATGAATTATGTAATCTATGTTTATTCTTAGGCTGCTCAACCTTTACAACAAAGTTTTGGATTAGCTCCTTGTCAAGCCAGATCATATGCAGATATTGTGAATTTATTGCCCAAGCACTTATATTATTTATATATACAAACAGATGCATATAGGGTTGCTTGCAGTAAGTGATACTTTTTAAATAATAAATACTTCAAGTTAATTTACAATAAGTTGCATTAATGCATAATAATCAAATAACTTATTCTAGAATCAAAATTCACTGTTTCAATTAATGGTGATGAAGAAGAAGCTAGAAGATTTGATTCTAATAAGAATAATATTGTTGATACCAATTCTGATGAGGTTAATATATAAATAAAATTAATTAAATAATTTGTAATTACTGCTAGAGTTTATGACTACTGATATTTTATCATTTCTATATTTTAATATATAATATAACTTTTCTATTTTGATGTTTTTCMGTTTATAATAAGAAATAATATATTAAGTGTTATTTACATTTTTTATGAAGTTAATTTAGTATRTAATTTAATTTTTGTTGGTTTTACTATGTCTAAATGGCCCATTCGCTTATTTATGTATTTGCATTAATATTTTGACAAATTTTTGTTAATCACTTCTATTTTGCAGGAAATAGATGTGCCTAAACCTAAAAAACGTCATCATAAGAAATCACGAACAGATACAAAGTCTGTACAACAAAAAAGTTTATTGACYAAACATCCCCTATCGGTTAAATTAACATTAAGTTTAAAAAATAGTACTCAGTTTGAAATGGAATTTTTTTATTTGGTTAATTTAAACTTAATTACTGTTACTGTTTCTTCATCTTGGTCTGGATTTTCTTCATCCTACTCTAGAGAATTGCTTTCACCAAGTTCTATACTTGATGCATTGTTCCCAGGTGATAATGGCAAGGAAAGTCCTCATATAGTCAACTTCCATCAGTTAGAAGAAGTTAGTATATTTTAAGTGACAATTAATC